ATTAGCCTTTAGCGGGCTTGATTTTAAAAACGATAAACCATCTGTTGATTTTCAGCCGGATCGGGTGTCGCTGTCACCCTGACAAGATTTCCGACACCCGGAAGAGGAAGGTGACTGTCACACGATCCGCCCGCTTCTAGCCAGAACTCGAGTGCAGTAAACACCAGATTATCCGGACTAATGTGGCGGGCGGGTGGTTTAGATACTCAAAAGTTCGGATAATCCGAAGGTTACTTGAAACATCGTCGGTGATTGTAATGTCAATGTAAGTGAATGTAAAGTCCGAAGCAATTCAGTGACGTCCGATTTGTTAGACGGTGTTTCATTTTAGCACCATAGTATTCACTTATGGCACGTATCGATGGCTAAGCAACAATACCGTCTATCTGCAAGCTGACGATTTTGCAGGTCAAGGAAGAAATTTTGCCATTTTTTTTTGTTTTACTTTTAACGTAACATTGAAATTTTTTTTCCATTTAAAGCGTTTTTACCTCTCTCCTATGTGGAATTAGTAAAAATTGAAACATCAGCTTGCGTATTTAGTACTGGAGAATGCGGCAAAGTCACGGATTCATTTTCGCCAAAATTTTCAGTTATGCGGTTTTTTTCCTCAGTTCTCGGTGTGCATTTTGAGGGATTCACTAAGAAGTTCAAAAGTTTGTCTGTTTTAAGGGTCCATCTATTAAATGTGGCGGTGTGGTCTTGAAGGAGGAGGGGGGGTGTTAGGGTTGTCTGATATGTACCTGATGAGGGAGGATAGAAGCAGAATCCAGTGGAACCTGGCGTTAGGCTGGAATCGGCGCGGAAATGGAAGCGCATTTTTTAAAATAAAAACTTCGACCAAAAATTTTTCAGGGTGCCAATTTTTCGTAAGTGAAATGAGGAGTGACATTTCACATAGTTTCACACATGACATAGTTTTTAAGGGAGGATATTTTTATGTTTTATGACATGACATGTGTCCGAAACGGGTTNGGGGGGGGGGGGTCAAAAAATCTGAAAAAAGAGCTTAATTTCATTGATGGCCAGCTCTCAAACGAGACGAATTTCGTAACATTGTGCTTTTGAAAAAGTGCAACGGTGGGTGGACTAGGTTTAAAAAAAAAGCGAATCGACATTGGATGGAATGTGCGCTATCCCGTGGCGCGAACTGTGTCAAATTCAATGAGCTTGACCTTGATTCGCGGCATAATCCCATGGGTGGTGTAGGTGTTCGGTTCGGGACGGGAGTCAGAGGGAACCAACGAAGGTTTACATTACACGGTGCAAGGGCTCAAGTTGACTTCTACTTGAGGCAGGAAGAAGGCGGGTCTCTCGCTCTGTGGTCAGTTACACGCAATCACATTACCCTATGAAATTACTTTCCAGCTGATACTCGGGCAACTGTCCGTTCCGGGTTCCCTCCAGCTTGACCAAATTATTATTTGCCCAAAGCGTGGGAGGGTCTTTATATTCATCGCTTGTTTAAGGTAGACGGAAGTTAACATCAAGAGGATCTATATAAAAATAATATACTTGTGTGTCTTATATATTGGAAAAAAGGTCGGAATCCACTCTGAATGCCTCATGCCATGTACTACGGTTTGTATCCGTAGTACATGGCATGAGGCATTCAGAGTGGATTCCGGAATGTGAAAAGTTGTCATACGGAGAGAATTTTCTGTAGACTCGATAGAAAGTCCAATTAATAATTGGATCGCATTTAGCAAAAAGGAACCAGCGCGATTGCAGTGTTTTCAAGATCGTGCAACTTCTTCTTTTCTTTTAAAAAGACTGAATATAGTTCAGTATTCAAATTAACACAATTACTTTTCTTTAAAATTAACCATTTTTGGTGGGGAAAAAACACTATTTGCTATTCCGGGAGATTTTTTAGAAAATTATAAAGAGCAACTTTTTCACAACGCTGCAATCGCGCTGGTTTCTTTTTGCTGAATGCGATCCATGTTATCGAATGAATTTTGGTAAAATTCGTCGTTCCCCCAATGAAGGAACGTAACTCCATTCCAAAGTTCCAAAATTGACTAAAACTAATTAATTTTTTACAAGAATATACCTGTGCAATCTTTGTCCGAATTTTGTTTTATTTTTGCTTGAGATCAGAAGTAAAATCAGTGAAATTTTCAGCTACAAATGCCCACGATTCTGTTGGTAAAAATGCAATTTACGAGGAGAAATTTGGCGATATTGAAATGTAATTACGTTATTATATCAGTTTAATTTTTCATGCGTAAACGTAAGTCAACGACATAATTGATGTATTTAATCCGCGAATACTTTTTACGTAAAGCTTTCTTTACATGCTCGTGCTCAACGATGAAAAGCATCCCATTTGCGAACAATACATCTTTTAATTTATTTTTAATACTGTAAGTCATCATATTTCAAACAGGGGCAACAGATCCGGGTTCTTGAGAGCAACTTTGAAGCGTTATCATGCAGTATGCAGCTTCTTTTCATAAATTCCTCCTCTCGTATCACCGATTATTGCTTGCATATTTCCTCCTCTTTTGCGACAGAAGCATCAAAGTATGTTCACAGTTTACAGAATTCATAACTTTCAAAGAAATTCAGCTCAATCGGAAAGTTTAATTTTTGAGCGATTCAAGCCTATTGCGAAAGCTGAAGAGGCTGTGTAGTATATCCTGTCATCTCAGACACCCTTTTCACCTTCCTCTTACTCTACTTCATAGGTCGAGATCTTCAGCGTAACCTAGAGAATCAAAAAGTTGTTGATTATATTTCTTTTGAGAGTTTAGGTAAGATGAAATACACATCCTCGGAGGCCAGAAGATATGTTATGAATCCTGAAGATTTTTATTCAACAAAATACGTGAACATGATGTAAAAATGTGATGTATAGTTCACGAAAGAAAACCTTTTTTATGTACAGCGAAGGAAAAAGAAATACTTTTCCTTTATAAAAATAATATCAAATGCCGCTAACCAGGCCACACATTACATTACATCATTTTACCGTATTGGTGCCCTTTTATCGAATAATGCCTGATTAAACGAACCGTATAAAAACCTTTAGGACTATGAAGACAGTTTCGAAAAGAAAACATCATACGTATTCAGATCTCCCTAAAAAGTAAGTGACTCACTATATGTTCTTTTGCCGAAATTGCCCAAGTTTCTCATCTGAACGCCGTGAAGACATCACCACATTCATCGACTCTGAGCTCTATTCTGTCGTGCTACCGAAGAGACCAAGACCGCCCTTTTCGGAATCAAGTTTCCTTAAAAATTCGGCTACTCTAATTTTGATTAATACTGGCCAATTCAGCCTAAACAGAAAGATGTGGTTTTCTTATAAAAAAAATGAGTTGTGAGAAATCAGAGGATGCGCAAAAATTGGCGCGATCTGTGACAAGAATGCAGTAAGTCTATCAGGGCCGGACTAAGAGGGTGGCCACATGGGCCGCGGCTTATGGTGGCAAAATGTAGGGGGCGGCAAATTTTGCAATCTTTCCTAATGTAACTATCAAAAAAAAGAAGGAAAAATCGGATCCAGAAAATAAATTACAAACGAGAAAAGACGATAAAATCTCTCATTTCCTGAGAGTAAAAGTATAGTAATTTCTAATTTTGTCGTCTTTCGGTATGATACAAGAGACAACACCTTTAATTAGTCGAGTTAAGAGAGAAACCAAACACGCAATTCAACCTTGAGCGGAGCGGCGCAGAAGGCAATGATGACGAGGACTGAGATGGAAAGGAGAAGCCCTCGGCGCGGCGGTCGGCATGAAACGCATAGCGCCTACAAGACTGGATGAATACTTCAAGCATTGCGTCAAACATTGCGGTCAGCGAGAAACGCATAGCGCCTACAAGACTGCATGAATACTTCACACATTGTGCCAAACACAGTGCGGTCGGCGCAGTGGCGGAAGTTAAAATTATTAAACCTCATTTGTGTTTGTTCTTTCATAATTTTTTCGTTCGTTTGTTATAAATGGAAGGCCTTGTCCAAACAGGGATGGGTTTACGGAACTTAACTTTCGCGTAAAGTTCCGTGAACTTTTGTTAGTGTTGACGGGGCTTTCACAAAAAATGTGCTCAACACGAGTAAACGCGTCTCATACACCCCTCTCCCACCGGCACGTTCACTTAACGAATGAGAAGGGGGTGGAAAATACAGGCGGCCCATGGGCAGCAAGTAGGTAAATCCGGCCCTGAAGTCTATAGTATGTTAGTGGTTTTAGAGATCTTTATTTACTTGAGTTAATTGCTAACCTTAATTTTTTTTTTTTTAGTTGCTTTACCGGCTTATATTACGATTCGGAACCTCCAGCCACTAAGACGAAGCTCTATTTAGTGTGCATAGACATCATCGCGGGGTTGGTACATCCATGCTGTAGTCTTTACAATTATCAGAAATTAAGGCCGAGTAGAATCTGTTTCTGCAGAGCCACTTGTCGATTCCATGAAAATTTGACGCCACCACCGGGATTCGAACCCATGACCTATTGGACTAGAGTCAGACGTCCTGACCATCGAACAGCCAACCTCGCCGGCTTCCCTTAAAATGTGATAATTGGACCGCGTTAAACAGAAAGGAACCAAGCAACATCCGCTACTGCCAAAATTAATCAGGCAATTTAATATTTTCCATAAAAACGGTTGTGCGAATTTTAGTGCAAATTTCAGTAAATTTTCTCCACAGTACGAGGCAAACTCCTTACAATTTTCAAAGGAATCCGCACAAACGTTCTCTCGTAAAAAATTAAATTGCCCCCTTAAATCTGGCAATAGCTAATGTGGCTTGGTTCCTTTCTGTTAAACGCGGCCCAATTGTTTGTATAAAACGATACTTCAAGAATCTAAACAATTTCTACGAATATGCGGGGAGATAACTGACATTTTCACAGGAGGAGCGTAGACATTTTTTGGTAAAATTTTCCTTTTCGATGCCACTGGGTCCGTTTCATGAAGAAATTCAGGTTTGTAGTGACTGTGATTTTGAGTAATACGGCAGTATATTCATCTGATTACAGGTTTGGACCCACGACAATTACTGCATGGTCGTCACGGTCACCACTGGGAGCACAGATACTTGGGCAAGGATCATCGGAGAGCAGGCGCTACGTTCCAAGGAAGGGTCTACAATTTCCTGGAGCGGCCTACTGGATGGAAGTGTTTCATCTACCACTTCTCTGTGTGAGTTACTATTATTATTCTATTTATCTCATTTTGCATGCATCCAGTTAACTAGTTCTCCGAATGAATCAGTGAGAACGAAAACACACCAACTCGGTGACTGAAAAATGCTCAATTTTCAGTAAAGAGGGTCAGTTTTCATAAAGGTAAAGTGAAGTTAACGCATCTGTTCCAACTTGGACCTTTAAAGTGGCCTTAAGTCCTTGTCTTTCGGCACCAAAAATCTTTTCCTTGCTTTAACTTTTTCAACTACTGTGCAGTTTTTTATATGTCTTGATTATTTTCATGTTTTTGAGTTGGCGTGTTTTCGTTCTCACTGATTCAAATGGAGTGCTGCGCTGTGCTAAGGAAGAACGCCGTGTGAATAGTCAGTGACGATTCTTGAAATTTTCAGAACCTTTAGATCAAATAAAGGAAAAATTCTCCGAGAAACCGGAAGAAAATCATTCCAAAATTTCTCTGAAAATGCATTAGGTACATAGTACAATGGGACATGCCGATATGTCTCTAAAACTCCTCACAGTGGCGATTCTTGAAATTCGGCAACAGTTTTTTCCTCCCTTTGAATGTATGTAAAACAATCTATATTCTCGGTAAGGCAGTTTGCCTCACCGAGAATATCAATGTTTTTCATGAATTTTCATGAAGATTTCATGAAATGGNAAATACTTTTTCTTTATAAAAATAATATCAAATGCCGCTAACCAGGCCACACATTACATTACATCATTTTACCGTATTCTTGCCTGTTTATCGAATAATGCATTTAACGAACCTTTAGGACTATGAAGACAGTTTTGAAAAGGGAACATCATAAGTATTCAGGTCTTCCTAAAAAGTATGTGACTCACTATATCGACGGTGAAACTACCAAACCACGTATCTCGTTTGCGGTGTTTAAAAATCTACGATCACATTTTATTTTTTTGAAGTAGACCAAATCAATATCATTCCTTGATATTTTCACAGAATTTTCTCCGCACGAAGAGGAAAAATCACAGAAATTTTCAAGACTGGACGTTAAGTAGTTTTTCATTTAAAAAATAAAGTATGACAGGAAGTCTGCGACGTCGAAAACCGAGATACGTGGTTTGGTAGTTTCACCGTCGATATGTTCTTTTGCCAAAATTGCCCAAGTTTCTCACCTGAACGCCGTGATGACAGCACCACAATCATCAACCCTGAGATCTATTCTGTCGTGCTACCGGAGAGACCAAGACAGCCTTTTTCGGAATCAAGTTTCTTTAAAAGTTCGGCTACTCTAATTTTGATTAATACTGGCCAATTCAGCTTAAACAGAAAGATGTGGTTTTCATATAAAAAAATGAGAGTTGTGAGAAATCAGAAGAGGCGCAAAAATTGGCGCGATCTGTGACAAGAATGCAGTAAGTCTATCAGGGCCGGACTAAGAGGGTGGCCACATGGGCCGCGGCTTATGGTGGCAAAATGTAGGGGGCGGCAAATTTTGCAATCTTTCCTAATGTAGCTATCAAAAAAAAGAAGGAAAAATCGGATCCAGAAAATAAATTACAAACGAGAAAAGACGATAAAATCTCTCATTTCCTGAGAGTAAAAGTATCGTAATTTCTGATTTTGTCGTCTTTCGGTGATACAAGAGACAACACCTTTATTTAGTCGAGTTAAGAGAGAAACCAAACACGCAATTTGACCTTGAGCGGAGCGGCGCAGAAGGCTGATGACGAGGACTGAGATGAAAAGGAGAAGTCCTCGGCGCGGCGGTCGGCATGAAACGCATAGCGCCTACAAGACTGCATGAATACTTCACGCATTGCGTCAAACATCGCGGTCAGCGAGAAACGCATAGCGCCTACAAGACTGCATGAATACTTCACGCATTGCGCCAAACACAGTGCGGTCGGCTCAGCGACGGCAGTTAAAATTATTAAACGACATTTATGTTTGTTCTTTCATAATTATTTCGTTCGTTTGTTATGAATGGAAGGCCTTGTCCAAAAAGGGATGGGTTTACGGAACTTAACTTTCGCGCAAAGTTCCGTGAACTTTTGTTAGTGTTGACGGGGCTTCCACAAAAAATGTGCCCAACACGAGTAGACGCGTCTCATACACCCCTCTCCCATCGGCACGTTCACTGAACGAATTAGGAGGGGGCGGAAAAATACAGTTGGCCCATGGGCGGCAAGTAGGTAAATCCGGCCCTGAAGTCCATAGTATCTAACTGGTTTTAGAGATCTTTATTTACTTGAGTTAATTGTTAACCTCAATTTTTTTTTATTTGCTTTACCGGCTTATATTACGATAACTCCAGCCGCTAAGACGAGGTCCCATTCAGTGTGCATAGACATCATCGCGGGGTTGGTACATCCATGCTGTAGTCTTTCCAATTATGAGAAATTAAGGTCAAGCAGAATCTGTTTCTGCAGAGCCACTTGTATTGGTTCCGTGAAAATTTGACGCCACCACCGGGATTCGAACCTAGGACCTATTAGACTAGATTCAGGCGTACTGACCTTCGAACAGCCAACCTGGCCGGCTTACCCTTAAAATGTGACAATTGGACCGCGTTAGACAGACAGGAACTAAGCAACATCAGCTATTGCCAAATTTAATCAGGCAATTTAATTTTTTCCATAAAAACGTTTGTGCGGATTTTAGTGCAAATTTCAGTAAATTTTCTCCATACTACGAGGCAAATTCCTTACAATTTTCAGGGGAATCTGCACAAACGTTCTCTCGTAAAAAATTAAATTGCCCCCATGAATTTGGCAGTAGCTAATGTGGCTAGGTTCCTTTCTGTTAAACGCGGTCCTATTGTTTGTATAAAACGAGACTTCAAGAATCTAAACAATTTCTACGAATATGTGGGAAGATAAATGACATTTTCACAGGAGGAGCGTAGACATTATTTAGTAAAATTTTCATTTTCGTTGCCACTAGGCCCGTTTGACGATAAATTTCAGGTTTGTAGTGACTGTGATTTTGAGGAATACGGCAATATATTTATCTGATTACAGGTTTGGACCCACGACAATTACTGCATGGTCGTCACGGTCACCACTGGGAGCACAGATACTTGGGCAAGGATCACCGGAGAGCGGGCGCAACGTTCCAAGGAAGGGTCTACAATTTCCTGGAGCGGCCTACTGGATGGAAGTGTTTCATCTACCACTTCTCTGTGTGAGTTACTATTCTTATCCTATTTATCTCATTTTGTATGCATCCAGTTAACTAGTTCTCCGAATGAATCAGTGAGAACGAAAACACACCAACTCGGTAACTAAAACATGCTCACTTTTCATTAAAGAGGGTCAGTTTTCATAAAGGTAAAGTAAATTAACGCATCTGTTCCAACTTGGACCTTTAAAGTGGCCTTAAGCACTTGTCTTTCGGCACCAAAAATCTTTTTCTTGCACTGACTTTTTCAACTACTGTGCAGTTTTGTATATGTCTTGATTATTTTCATTTTTTCGAGTTAGCGTGTTTTCGTTCTCACTGATTAAAATGGGGTGCTGTGTTGTGCTAAGGAAGAACGCCGTGTGAATAGTCAGTGACGATTCTTGACATTTTGCGATACTTTAGATCAAATTAAGGAAAAATTCCCAGAGAAACCGGAAGAAAATCATTCCAAAATTCCTCTGAAAATGCATTCGGTACATAGTACAATAGGACATTGCGATATGTCGCTATAAACCTCCTTACAGTGGCGATTCTTGAAATTCGGCAACATTTTTTTTTTATTCCCTTTGAATGTATGTAAAACAATCGATATTCTCGGTGAGGCAGTTTGCCTTACCGAGAATATCAGTGTTTTTCATGAATTTTCATGAAGATTTCATGAAATGAAGGAAAAAAGGTATTGCCAACTTGCAAAATCGCCACTATGAGGAGTATGAGAGACATATCCAAATTTCGTATGATGATATACATACATACATAGCGAATTTTCAAAGAAACTTTTGATTGAGAAAGAATGTGATCTAAAATATCTAAAAGTTTCATGGGAAAAGGTTCATAGCTTTCGTAATTTTGGTATTAAAAAGAAAAAAAAAAAATTGGTAACATTCGAACGTCCATGCGGCATTTTCCTTTAGCATGACAGAGTGGCCCACAAGTGTGCAATTAGTTGTTCTTCCTCAGATTTCTAATATTTATCTAACTTTGCATAACACCATATTCATCATCATAAAAACTTGCAGCGTTTTAAATCAGTCGCACATTTCGGATCGTCAAACCGAACTCGAGGTTGTGAAGATCCGACGATCAATTGGACTACATTTTGCAATTTGGAACTATAAATTCTGGCCCGGTTTAAAAACAACGTATGTGCCATTAGTTTCCTTATGCACATAAGTTTTTATACGGATATAGTTCTTTCTATATGTATAATTTATAGATCCAAATTGCAAAATGCAGTCCAATTTTCATCTCACACTGGAAAAAAAACCACATTGGATCTAGAGTCCAGACTCTTGAAAACATTGACAAGAAAAAATACTCTTGATTCAATCGGATTTTTGCTTGAATCAAAACGAAATCCGCTTAAATTAAGAGGCTTGGTTCTTGATTTAAGCTAGATTCTGATTGAATCAAGAGTACTTTTTCTTGTCGATGTCTTTAAGAGTCTGGACTTTAGATCCCATGTGTTTTTTTTCCAGGGCACAATCATGTTTTTTCTCTTCCTCTCCGAACGAGAACGTTCTCCGAAGGAAAAGAGTCGGCGTATCGAATGACTGTTTGGGGTCACCACACTGGGAAGCCTCCCCTCGATTAGAGAGTAAATTTGCTTTGCCATTTGTAACGGAGCGGTAAGTCGCGGGCATCATCTTGCCGCGCCCCTGTTGGGCATGAGATGTCGCGCGCGTAAAGCTATTTGTATCCGTGTCTTTTGCAGGCGTCTCCACCGCTCCGAATCGATACGGCATAAGTGAGCGCCACTCGAGCTACCGCGACATCTCTTCGAAACCCGATCAGTCGGTTTCGATTTCAGGATGGAGGAACGAAGATTATCAATCGATAGGACATTCG